TATAATCTGGTTAGCCGACGCTAACTCTTTCCATCTAAAATGTGAACCCTTAAAATATCCATATTTTTGCTTATACATATTATTATCTCTTTGTTTCAAATTCATCACACTGATTGCAATTATCTTATGAACTGGTCACTGATTCACTTATTCTTGAACTCTTCTACCAATTCTCACCACATCATTAGATCTTCTAACTTTCTTATGGTGACACTTGTTCACCATATTCTATCTTATCCACAAAATAATAAGAATACTCCACATCACTTCCGTTATTCACAACTGTGAAAATCTTCTATCACAATTCTAATACGAGTTCAACTTTCTACAATCACCCTTTGATCTTATGAGGCACTTCCTGAGGTGTCCGCTCTTCATCCTGCCTGGCCAGGGCTAGTGAATAGCTATCACAGTCAAGAATATCGCCTTTCACTCTACTTCAAAATTATCACGATCAGATTTCTATTATATTAAACTAATCTTATTCTATTAGCAAGACATCATACTCCTTACACTATCATATCAGAAAATTTTCACTATGTGTTGGCATGCACACATTTTAAAACTCTTTTACATTCGGTTTAAGCCTAGAATTGGCTAAACCTTAGCTCTGATACCATTAAATGTAACACCCCCAACCTGGATCCGAGTTTGAGGTGTCACAATGACTTTTCAAAACGTTTACTTGTATAAAATAGTGAGTAATTTAAAACTTTTATACATGTAACTTATTCAAAAGATTTCCAGAAATATTCAGAGCTTAAATGTTTTTGCAAAACCGATCAGAGTATATACAATTCAAAACATTAATTACATGCCAACTATTTTCAATATACAAAATACATCTAATTCAAGACATCTTTTCTGATCTAATCTTCGGTAAGAAGTAACTGACATGTCTTGCTCCACTTTGCTCTCTACACTTCTTACTTCTGCAACCTACATGTGAAACAATCACACGCTAAGTCTATGACTTAGTGAGGCAAATAAACATATAATATAAACTATAGCTTGTAATCATGCATGAACACTTACTGCTATCACTCATACCCTTATTCATATAACAAATCCCTATAACACCTATGCAATACATCATTTCATGTAAGAACATATATACACACACATATATTCATCACTCATCATTTCCATCTTTAGCCTTATTTCATTATCAATATTATTATCGTTTATATCACTTAATACATATCCTCTTATACATAGTATTTTAACCAACATTTGACTCATTTAATCATACCATCAACATCTCATCATATAAATTATATATACTATCATTCATAGCACAAAAGCATACAAGTCACATGTAATATGATGGTTGTTATTTCTTTATTAGCCCATGTACACATGTGAGAACTATGGATATGTGAGTCTATAGAGGTTGTGCACTAATGCTGTCACCACAGCTCGTATAAATTGCACCGTAGTGCCACGTAGAATTTTGCACCGAAGTGTCGCGTAGAAATTTGTCCCGAAGGACCGCGTAGAATTTGTCCCGAAGGACCATATAGAAATTCCTTAAGAATCATATATATATACAAAGAATCAAGCATGTGTCTCAAAAGACATCACACATGTTCCAAGGAATACATATATGTCCCGAAGGACCGCGTAGACCCTCGACTCTTGGCATGCCAACTATACCTCTAGCTCTCAAGACACTTAACATGGGCATTGTCATTTCACATATTCATATATACACATAGTTCAATTATGCATAGAACATTTTCATATGATTCACATTTACATGTCACATAGCTTATATACTTTCTCACGTAGTCACATAGATCCATGTCATATAACATATATCCCAAAGTGCATATAATCACATATATCATATCATATAGCTTAGATCATTTCTCAGGTATTCATATAAACATACATATCATATCTTGTTCACATATGATCATATATGCTTCATATAACACATAGAAACACCTAGACCACTTTCTCATAGCTTATATCAATTTTCAGAGTTCTTTCATATTACCTGATGACATATATCATATATGTATATAATAACTGATATCATATCATCTACCTTATGCTCCATTTCTTTGTATTCCCTTAGATTATATAAATTATGTCGTATTTCTAAACATATATCATTTAATAGTATTTTTATTTAGGTACTAATTTAATCTCTTTACTTAATTCAATTTCATATATTCATTATAATATTTTCCTATAGCTCCATAGATATTTAACATATAACTTATCTTGCATATTCGTATCGTCCCTTTATATTCAAGTTTCCTAATTGATATACTATTTCCATTTCATTCTATAATTCAATCTTATTTAGTTCCCTTAACTCTCATTAAATCAAAAAGCTCTATTATACTAATTCTCATAATAAATCATACCACTATGTACTTGTCCAACTCATGTTTCCATTATGCATATACTATTACCCATGTTTACCTAGTTCATATCACTTCTCATGAACTCACTTTCATCATATTTTCCTATTATTACATATTTTATCTCATAACCATGTATTCACATAGTCTTATATTTCATTATCATATTACTTATATTTGTTTTCTTATGACTCTTTATAAACATCTATTTCCATTTCCTTTCATCTCTTGACTTATCTTCTATATTCCTATAATTTCATAACTTATTTTATATTCTCTCATCAACACTTAATCGTGTTTTTACATAAACCACATGGCACACTCAAAACATATCAATTCAGATAATCAAGCATACATACACTCATTTTCTACTCATGCCTTTAATCATGAATTCATATGTAACACTTCAGGAAATAGACTCATCGCAAGTCTTATTCCCATCACACATCATTTACTATTGAATATGCACTCACCTGGCCTCACTAGTCAATCTCGATCTCTAATCTTTCCCCTGATCGATCTTATTTGCCAAATGTTCCGGAATTGCCTTATGCTCAGAATCTACATAAATTTACATTTTAAGGCAATTATTAGATACCTACACCTTGCAATTGGATACTATCAACTTAAACGGACTTATTAAACCCATATTTTCAAGTTTCCTTTAGGGGGTATCGATACCCTCATGACATTCTAGAATTCTGCTTGTTTGAGAGGGTATCGGTACCCCTTTGAATGGGTACCAATTCCCCCTAGCCCATAAATCATTTTCAACTACGAAAATTCACTATTCCAACTTCAATTCTTCATATTTCAACCCCTTTTATACTCTTAACTCATATATACATACTTAAACTAATTTATACCCATTTATGTCATCTCAAACCTCAAAATTCTATTCTCCATATAGAAATCAATAATCGTACCCAATTTTCCATGTTTCCCAAACTTAATTCTAACACTTCTAGCTTCTTATTCTCATAGATGACAAGTCAAATTCATAATTAAAACTTCAAAAACCTCTTTATTCTAACAATTCATTTCTACACCCTTCATATAATTTCCTCTTTAATTCACTATTTGTGATGTTTAAAGCTTATATAAGCTTTCCTTAAGCTTATATAACACCCAAAGAATCAAAACCAACTTATAAATCCAAGAATTAAACAACTGAAATTATACTTACCTTTGCCATGGAGCTTACGGGAAGAGAAGAAGAAGAAGGTTGAACCAAAGCCTCCAGACTTTTCTATTTTTTTCATCCATTTCCACGTGACATCTCCTATATAAAGGAGAAATAAAAATCTTTCTTATGGAATTACCATTATATCCTTCAAACTTTCCAAAAATTACCATTAATCTAACACTGAAATTTTTCTATTTAAATCCTTGAACTTTTAACTTGTTTCGAAACTAAGCATATAGTTTTCAAAAATTGCAATTTAGTCACTGACCCTGATTCAGGATGTTACAAGCTAAGCATAGTAGAGACCATACTTAACATGTTTTGTGAAAGCGATAAAAAGCGTAAAGTAAAAAGAATATAAAAATGAAAGAAAAAGTGAACTTTTATTAAAACAAAAATAAAGTAGCAAAACAAAGCTAAAGAAGAAGATGATGATGTTTAAACCTTACTCAATGGAGGGTATTTTTAGGCTTCTAAACCCCTAAGATACATGAAAATTAAAACAAATTAAAAGATAATTCCATTTGAAAATTAAAATCCAAATTTCCTAAAAAGTCTCCTTAGATTGTGCTGACTGAGCTATCTTCATAATATTCCTCGCATTGATTGGACCTTAGCTTCCACGTCAGACCCGCGTTGTGCCAAACATCGTGCCCATATCTCTAGCTACAATAAGAAAATAAAAAAAGTTGCAGAATGCGTCCTTTTACTGTCAATTCCAGTAAACAGATCAATGCACATAAAACAAACTTATACAACCTAAATCAACAGTGAAGAATTCATAAAACAAAGAAAATTAGCAAGCAAAAAGTAACAATTTAAAATGCTTATCAGTCGCCCTTGCCTCTGCAGTACCCGAACTGAATTAGTCGATTAATAAATAAACTACTGATGGTTATAAAAAAACAAATGATCACTAATATCATTGAAAAGTAACAAAATGGCCATTATATCATTAAGTTCGGTTAAGTAACTAACGAAAGTCTAACGTAGTGGTTAATGTGATACTTTAATAAATTATTTTTCACTAGTAAGATAATGATACGCGATATCATTCTATTGGTGTATATATATATATATTGAAAATATGAGAAAATCCTTATATGCATAAAGTAGGAATCGAACTTGATTTCATGTCCAACCATTAAACTAAAGTAAAGACAGTGTGTATATATAAATATATATTGGATAAACCACATGTTTAGTACATAATTATCATTTTATTTTGTTTTGATCACTCAATTATTACCTTTTTTCAAATCATACCCGATATTATGTTTTCAGCTTATTTTGATCACTAATCATTAAAAAATTAATAAAACGTGAGATTACCGGTGATAGTTGAATTACCAAACATGTAATTTATTCAATTTTTTTTATAGAAAACAATATTTTTCACAAAAACGTAAACCCTAAATTTTGGAATAAAAGGACTTGAGCGGTGGATATTTGATCAAATTCGGAACCCTCGTCTCCCGCTCCACGTTCTGCAGTTGGCTTCTTTGATTACTCAATCATGAAAGGTATTCGTAAATATGTATAATCTTTCCCTGATGTTTTCTTTTGCTTTCTGACTTTCTAAATCATACGCTCTAATCGCTGTTCTCACGTTTAAAACTTCGAGTGCAGTGCGTTTTAAGTTTCAGTGTAGGGACATTAATGAAAAACTAAGGAAGTTCACATGGAGGATTGACAACTTGTCCACTGTTGAAGACGAAATATTGTACTCTGAGGATTTTGTTGTTGAGGGAAACAAATGGTAACTTTCATCTTCGTACTCTTGTTCTTGTTTTGATTTGCATTGTATCTCCCATCAGTTATATTTTGCATGCGAACTTGTTTGGCAGGCGAATTCATATCTACCCCAAGGGAAACAATGTGGATTATTTGTCAATTTATTTAGGTGTTGCAAATTCAGCAACTTTGCCTTCTGGGTGGAGTGCATATGTCCAATTCGGATTCGCAGTCATCGATCAAATCGATCGGAGAACTTCCCTTACACAAGGTATTTTGTTGCAGCAATCACATTTCTATAAAACAAACGAAACGATTATGGTTGTTCTTCTTCATTTCAAAAGTACCCAAGTGATGATGAGCTGGCGTAGTTATTAGATATGGTTATAGTTCTTTGATTCTAAAGAATTGGGTATACTTGTATAAACATATTTATTGCTTTTCTCCCTTTGTGAACTTGTTTTATTTATTTTGATGCAAAGATGATCATAGTATAATGGGGAAGGGTAGCTGATATTTGGGTCATTTGTTGGATGTTAGCTCTTAAGGTTGTGTAATTCAGTTCTTTTCGCTATGTACTTGGTCTCTTCTTCACATTCTTCAAAGCTTTAGGAAAGCAAAGTTACTTGTAATATGGTTCCCTGATCAAAACCTCTTTAAATTCCTTGTTCTGCTTCTTTTGCTGTTACAATATTTTCTCCTTGGCTATTGCTTCCTCTTACTCTGTTTTGGCTATTTTGCATTTATCTTCTTTGTGGGACTGAGCATTTATTTCGTATGTTCCCCTGGTCCTGGCTCTGTGATGAATGCTTTAGCTTTCCGTATATACGAGTCAGGGAACCGAGCCGCTAAGAAGTTTCAAATTCATGTTGGTTGTGGATTGAGAAAAAGAATTGGACTCGATGAATCCAAGCTCCCTTTTTTCCCCAATAGCTCAGCTTGTTTGAGGTTTTGGTATGGTTTAAGCAGTCAAACCAGAAGCCAAATATGTTATTCATGACATATTTTCTTGTTAGAATCTGTTTCTAGCTTGTTTACTCAAGTATTTGGTGGTGATACATACTCTCGCTTTTAGCAGTCGCTACGTGTGAGATCAGAGCGAATGAGGGAGATCACAGCGTCGGCTTCTTGTCATTCTTACCACTTAATGAATTACATGACCCTAAAAGAGGCTATCTCATCAATGATGCATGCTTAGTTGAAGCCTATTTTTCCTCTGATAGGACTAAAGCTTTGATTTCACATGAATTAATAGTCGAAACTGATTCTGATAAACGTAAGACCGAGGAAGCTATTTGTGCTAAGGCAGCCATAGACAACCAGAAAAATACGGAAACCAAACCAGAAGAATTAACAACTCCTCCACCAACTCAGTCTTCTTGCCAGTTATTACCTGTTAATATTATTGCATATATTACTTATGTTATTGATTTCTTTTCCGCCATTTTAGGCCATTTAACCTGAAGAGCCTACTGATGAAGATATGAAGACATTTTTCACTAGCTTAGAGTCGGAGCTTTCAAGCTTTAAAACTGTCTTTTCTCAAGAAGAAGCAAAGGAAGCACTGGCTAAAGTAGAAGAAGCCTTGAAAATGAACCCAGTTAGCTTTTACTATTTTTGGAAGAGCTCTCCACGTAACCTTAAGGCATTCAAGATCCTATCTAGTTTTTATTGTTCCTCTACCACTCACAATTAAGCAAAAAAATGTCCTGTCAACCATGGAGGAAAGCTTGCATGAACTAGCTGACCGAGCAGTGAAAGCCGATCGGGACAAGGATCATCTCACTAAGAAGGAATCTATCAAGCTGGAGCTTACTCAGAATTTGGATCGCAATCTGATCAGATATAAGGATATCGAATCAAATGTGAAACAGATCGAGCAAAATCTTTTTTCCCTTCATGAGCAGGTTGAAGAAGAACACAAGGAAAGGGAGAATATGTTGGCTGAACGAAAGGGGATATTCAGAAGTTCCAAGAGAATAAAATTGGAGTTGGAAGCATTGGGAGAGGAACTGACAGTGTGTGAAGCCAAAGCCAAGGTTGCCGAGCAAGAAAAGAAGACTGTTGAGGCTGAATGGAGAAGAATCAAAGATTTCTTCTCTTCTATAAAACGATACATCTAAAAGCTGCCAAGGGAATTTTATAGTATTGGTGTTTCGTGCCAGACTTTATACCATCTATACACATACTTGTTGGGATGTGAACCATTGAACAAGTTCTTTTCCTATCCTTTTCCCTTCATCAAATGCTTTTTTGTTTAAACTATATAGAGTAGGGGTAAATTTTAATCGAGTCGAGTTGAATCAAAAACTTTTTGAGTTATTCGAGCTGATGAGCCTTATTTTATAACTTTAACCATATCTTTATCTAAACACATCTTTTGTCCCCATGGAATATGGGGAATCAAAATGGATTCTCTTGCTTATAGTTAACATGCTCATCGATCCACCTTTCTGGCAAATATTCTTCGCAATTCTTGCCCCATATCGGCTCCATCCTCTCCCTATAGCATGTGCATTATAGGTGAAAAACCAACCTTTTCCGATCACCAAATGCGGTTTGAATGTCATACTAGTCAAGTCCATAATCTGGTGACACTGTTCAAGAAAACTGAATATCCATTACAGATCCCATATTCAATGATTAATATTCACGTGTGGAAAGAAATTTGTCATGAAAAGTTATGTAATTTAAAAATTTAGATTTATCATAGCTTAAAATAGTAAGCAAGTCGATGGAGCTGATTTTAACCATTGAACTTAACTTGGACATTTAGCCACACGATGAACCAACAGATCCAGAGAACTAACAAACTCTCTATAAAATTTACTAGCAGATCCAACAACATAATTGTAAACAACACACCGAAAGGTAAATAATACCGAGGGTTTTGATTAAACACAATTGATTACGATCCAACGACGAAAGTATTCATGTTGTTCATTAATCACTTGTAGGTCGCACCGAGACAACCGCAGACAACATGATCAATTGATTTCATGAAAAATGGCTGTCCCTTTTTCCCATATGTATGGGGTAAGGGGGAGGTAAGATAGTAGGCTACCCCCAACACCAAATTGAGAGCAGCTTCCGTAAGAGACCTCCGGATTATTCCCACAAACAATTGATTTCATGACATGTCCACAAACAGTACAAGAAGGACCGTCAGTCATATTATTCCCACAAAGTTGAGCCTATCTAACGTTACTCTGCGTGTTTTTGCTGCTGCATCCTTGCTGAAAATAAAATGGAGGATGAAAGTTAAAGTATCAGTCCTTTTATTGGTTATAGAACAACAGTTCCTCCAGCAGGCAGTAGTCGAAGTTGATAGGTAATTTCCTTAAATTAATTGTTGCAGGCTTACACCATTTGTTCCCATCACATCAATTCCAATTGTTACCTTCACACCTACATGCTTCCTTAGTTGAACCAATTTTGCCTTGGATTGGAACCAAGTAATGTGTCATGTGTGTTTGGAAAAAATGTAAACTTTATTCAAATTTGGCCCATGGTTATAGATGATTTAGACATGAAAGTTATAGGCAGTTTAGGAATTATTAAAAAGTATGATTGCATGAAACGACTGATCTCGGTGGTTAAGGGAATGATGTTATCTCTTGAGGTCTCGAGTTTAAGCACGGCTTATGCCAGGGGTATGAGATGTTTATTGTCAAATGGTTGAGAGTGTTTGAATTAACCCACATTTATAAAAAACCAATTTCACAATTTTTTGTTGAGGGGACAAGATATAAATACTAAATTTTGGAAGGATTAAATGCAAAAATAATGTATCAAAATGGATATAATTGAATTATTTTTATTTAAATGTGATAAAAAATGTAAAATTTCCAATCATCCAACGACTAAAAAATGTTTGAATCCATTTTTTTATTCTAAAGGACTAAAGATGCAATTCTACTGTTTAATCAAGGGACCAAAACTTGACTTCTCCACTGTTGAAAAAGATTGAAATGGCTCTGAACTTGAAATATAAACCTAATGATTTAATTAGCTTTATTCCCGATGACACGCGACGTAATTGTCAAATAAAATATTTATATTTCTCAAATGGAAAAGAAGTAGAGAGAAGTAGGGTTGATCCATAAGGACTAAAGAGTTTCCAATGCATAATTGTTTTGATATTGTTTCAAGGATTAAAATAAAGAAAAAGGAGGTTTTGAAATATAAAAAATGACATTCTAAAAATGATGACAATAAAATAAAAAGAAAATTATTGAAAAGAAAACAATAAGAGAAAATAACCTCAAGCTTCGCTTTTACTCAATTCCAATTGATCATCGAAATAGATTTTACTTCGAGATACATGACAGTTACAGTCTACAAGTCCCAACCCTTGCAAATTACTTTTCTCTTCGGTAAACCGATATTCATAAGTCTATCTCTGGAATTCAGTCAATCTTGGACTAACCACGACTATCGCCATTAACACCAATATAACTTTAAGTGTTGAAAAAGTCGGACTCAAGCTATGGTGTCTCAATGAGAATCGAACTTGATCTCAATTCACCTTAGTGGACCGCCACTAAGTTTGTTCATAGGAGGTCGAATTACGACCAATCGATTCTTACTCCCAATAGTAAATCAGAACAACATTCAAGACAACGTCAACTTCTTGAAATGAGAGTGTCGAAATTTTTAATGGAAAGATCGATTGCCAATCCCAGTTTTTAGAAAATCAAGAATGTTATCCGAAGATATTAAGTACCTTTAAATTCTCACAATAGGAACTGAATCATTGCCAAGCCTTTGGCTAAATGAAAATTTAGCTAAGCATGATTGAAATTATACTTCACATTTTTTGAAAAGAAAATAAAAACTTAAAGTAAAAATAAAAGTTGAATGAAAATAAAACAAAACCTGAGAATTTTGTAAATAAAAAAAGAAAAGAAAAATTAAATCTTCAAGTTTACCCTATGGGGGTATTTATATTATTTAAATATCCTAAAGATAGAACAAATATTAAAAAAATAAAAATATCCTAAAAATAATCCAAGAGATAAATCCTAAAGTATTTTCAAATTCAAACTTAAATTCCTAAGATAATTATGTCCGTCCATCTTCCAGAAGATGTTGATTGGACTTTCTTCTAGAAGTTGTTGCTGACTAGATGTCCAAATCTGCTACATCGGAGACTATCGTGACCCAGGTCGTGCCCATGACTCCAACCACAATTCCATAAATAAAAAATACATAATTTGTCCTTTTAGTGCTAGTTCTGGAAAATAGTTCCTGCACGAAAACAAGTCAAAACAGAACAAAATCAGTAATATCAAATTAACAACGAGGAATAATTATCAACAAAATACATTCATATTTGAACACTCATCAAATTTCACCTCACTTATCCAATGCTTGTCATCAATCATACTTAAATTTAATATGTCAATATCTCCATTTACCATCCATCACTTTGTTTTATATCTAGAAAACTATCCAAGTCAAGTACACAACAATTATCTAAATCAAAATAACAATCAAGTGGAAAACACAAATATGATAAAGTTA